TCTCTCTCTCTCTCTCTCTCTCTCTCTCTCTCTCTCTCTCTCTCTCTCTCTCCTTTCTTTTTTCCTGAGTGTCTATAGGTATAACTCTAGAGGCATTGTTAGAACTAAAGCAAACAGCAGTAACTGCTGGGTCATTCTTGTTAAATGAAGAGAGATGCTACTTAGGCAGCATGCCACGGGCTGCTCCCCAATGTGGTAATTTGTACATGTGGGTGAAAGGAAATGATGTTGTGTGGAAAAGGCTAGACAAACCCATATGCAATTTTGTGGTTTATTTTGAATGTAATCTTCAGGACAGGCAAATGTATAGACAGCCAGTTGATTCTATGGCAGCAGTATTCTACCCTGCTGTTTGTGTGTGTGTGTGGTGCCAGGGAATGCATAGGTACACAGATGGTTGTGGAGCCAGGGGTTGGTGTTGGCTGTCTGCCTCAATTACTTACCACCTGTTTTGAAACAGGGTCTCTCACTGAACCTGGAGCTCAAAGACTGAGCTAGGCTGGCCAGCCCGTGAGTTCCCAGGCTCCTCTGGTGCACACCTCCCTAGTACTTGGGTTACAGGCTTGGCTGGCCATACCTGGCTTGTACACAGTTCTGCTGATTGAACTCAGATCCTTCTGGTTATGTGACAAGCACTTTATTGAGTCAGCCAAGTCCCAGGTTGCTTCTCTTCTGCCTCTCTTACACCCCTAGTGATTCAGGGTGAAGCGGTTTGCAGATAGTATGTAAAGGATGGCATTGTTCTTTTAATTATCATCAAACCCTGAACAGAGTCCTCAGAACTGCAGCTTGAAGGCCGGCCGGGGGTGTCTCTCAACAGTGAGGTGTGTGTGTGATATCCTAGGCTCTGTCCCCTCTAATGCACAGAAAAACCCATCAATGCCTTTTTGCAGAGGCATACAAGCTGACCTAAATTCAGGGACCCAGGGAAGCCAGAACAGTCTGGAAAAAGAAGATCAAAGTTGGAAGACTTTCTGCAGAGTAATCAAGATGGTGTGGCACTGATGTAAGAGTCAACATAAGGATTAATGAGAAAGAAGCCTCCCCTTTATGGTTGGTTGACTTTTGACAAGGGCACCAAGACCAATCAATGACCAAACAAACAAAAAATGACTTCAGAAGTTGGTGCTACAACCACCGAACACACATGTGAAAGAATTTCTCTGGAAAGCTGTTTTATTTCCTACATAAAATTCACTGACAAAGGGGCAGTTCTAAATGTAGAATCTAAAATTGCAC